CGAACAAGTTAGGAAGTACCTAGAGAGTGATGAAGCGTGGCAAGACGTTTTCGAATCAACCCACGTACCTCTTACACCGGATAGTAGTGATTCTTGGTCGGTTCTACAGCCTCTAAAGGTCATTTGAAGGGTAATTATCGCAATTACAATTCTGATTACCAGAGGCTTAGACCGACCAAGGTTGAAGGTACTTGTTCAATTGAATCAATTCGATAAGTCATATGACCTTGAGTATAGTATGAGTGTATTATGCTGAAATTGTATGTTATTGACGAATACTCATTATCCGAACTTGAAAGGTAATCATATGAATACATGTATGCGGTGATGCAAGGTGAAATCGTGATCGATGGTGACCTTGGGATTATTTTAGGTTTATATACATTACAGAGATCGAATCCAGTTGCTAGGTATCCTAACTCTAGCTGTCGTTGTACCCCACTGACTAGAAAACGGTGTGTTTCATGCTAGATGGATTATAGTAAATCCCCTCTACTTTCAAGCGTATATAAGGGGCTAGAGCCATTCTAACTCATCATTCGATATCCCAACATCATTTAGAGTGGTTGTTGTGCTAGAATTGAAGTCAGCATCACCAAATCCTGTGAAATCTGAGTCGAGGTAAATTTATTCAACAATTATCGTATTATTCCAAAAATATTATCATTGAAATGTCTGTTGGAAAACTAGATCTAGAAAAAATCGATGAGATGATAAATCAAACATCACAAGAATTCCAAACTATTCCATTATCTGCATTGGCTGTGAACAAGAAATACCGCCTAGAGAAGGTCACTATTCTATCTACGAGATATGGGCGATCTAGTTTATTGTTATTATCTGATGAGGGTAACAAATTCAAGACATGGTTACCAAAGCGAGTGATAGATCGATTGAGTGATGATATAATCAATGAACTGAACTCCTCTGATAGCCAATTCAGCTTGAAATATTTGGAAGAGAGTTTACCTAGCTTCGCAGGGTCAAAAACACGATCTCCTATTGAATTCGTCTTAGATGAATAGTTCTTGTCAAAATATCATTTCATTTCATATAACTATAGTGATAATAGTTGGGAATAATATATATTATATTGTGAAATATGTTCCTCTCAGATTATATACCAATCTTCCATCATTGAAATAATCCCATTGATGTGAGTATGATAATTTCATCAGTATTATCATTATTATAACCTAAACTGTTTACGTTTTCAGTGATTTTGGTACGTCAATATGTGGCTGCAATACTCTCGACAAGGATGGCCAGAAACAACAGATATAAAATCAGCAATTGACCGACTAAGATGTGAGTTCGATGACCTTAGTTTTGATGCCCAACATTCCGACAACTATGATATGAATATTTGTTTTGATAACGACGCTATACAGAGATGTATGCGACTTCATGAAAAGTATTATGCTGGTTCTGGTATATGTAATAAATTCATATATGGAAGTATGAACTTGGTACAATTTTGTGAGCAACTTGTTGATGTCAACTTACGCGAATTCCTATTCCAATTTGCACCACACTTACCGAAAGACATCTGTGAGGAATTCCATCTACATGAAGATAATGAAGAATGTACATGAAAGAATTGATTTATGTCATAAGTATAATGAATAAAACAAATATGACTCATGAATCTGTTTTATTTCTGCAGAATATCAGGAATACATTATAATAAAAGAAATATAAGTATAAAAAAAATTATTAGACTAACTTGATACATAATTCTATCATAGTTATATATTTCAACTACCATACTTCATTTCCATCAGACAGATCCCGTTTGAACAGTGCCATCTAGGGCACTGTATGTCATACATGCGTCATGTATGATTAATGCATATACTCTCGTATTTTCTGGAAACTTGGTTTTGCGAGTCTCGAATTCTAATTTTATGTCCACTGTAGAAGTCTTAATAGCATCCGGTTGATGACGGCACTCATATCTTTATCATAATAGTTCCGCTGGAATTGTTCGTAAGCATAGTGAGCTGGTGAGTGAAGCTTTCTACCAAAATCAAGATTCCACCTTGCATATGGATATACTTCTGAGTTAAGATATAGACGAATATTGTTAACATCAGCATGTTTGAATTTTGTTGCACCCTTTGATCTATCAATGAGATCGTTAGTGTGTTGAAATCCAATAGTTATATATCGAAGGCGTTCGACACTATTCGTTGTTTTTATTGCCCAAATATCTGAGGCAGTGTCTCGTAGTGATGGTAATTCATACAGATCCCACATTCGGTATGCTAACTTGACCTTAGCTGTATTATTTCTATTTATTCGATTGAGCAATTCGAGCTTCTGTCGATCTTCTGGCATGATGTGTTTGATTTTCCATTCTATCTTACTAATCTTCAAATCAGCATCAACCTCTCCAATATATGAGTTTTTGAATGTGCGAGCAATTATACGTATGAGCTCTTGTTCGACATTCAGAATTCCTTTGATGTAATCTTCAGCAAAGCCCATCAGGTACTTCAAAGGTAATTTTCCACTAAAGATGTGACTCTGGGAGTCCAAAATATCTTGTGATTTTTGTTTGAGACCCCATCCAGTAGTCTGAAGCGATGTCATATGCGTTTGTCCATATGAAATCATAGTTTTCATTGTAGTAGTTCTACCAGGCTTTCGAATTACAGCTACTTGTTCACTTCCCATTTCATAACGAATCTCATCAAAGAGGAATGCCAGTGCATAATTAGATGAATAACAAACTCTGATAGAATCAGTAGGAGTGAATTCACCTTCGATATATATGAAACTTTCTGCGATGTCCAGTATCAAATCTTGGAAGTTTGTTAGGAATTCGAATTTCGTCTGAATTTTTATAATATGGTGAACCATATGGCTTGTATGTGTGTACATGGAGACTAATTAATGAGTGATCCAGAATTGGCTCATCAAAAACATTCAATTCTTCACTAGTAGTATGGGCCACCATGTTGTTAGTATTTTTTTCGTAATTTCAGTCCAACAATATTCTTGAGAAAATTTCGATCGTCCGCTGATAGTTTATATCTTGACTGCTCGGATTGACGACGTGAAATGAACTTGAAATTGCTCTTGCTCTTTCTTATATGTGTTTGGAAATCTGATGACATCCTATCAGAACGTCTGAATGAAAATCCCATCGTTGATAACTCACGATAATTTCCTTAGTTCCAATTTCAATATTATTTTCTCTCCTCGGAAATCTATTAAGGCACCGTTATCATCCAAGATACTCAGAGTGATGTTGTCAATGAACTGACATCCTTCAGGTCTCACCGGCATATAAATGATATTCTGCGGCTCCTTAGATAATTTGTACCCTGGTTCTACATCTATGTCGAATTCGAATCAAGTATGTGCTTCTTCACCATCGAAATATGCTCCAGACGTGATATTGCAATCGACTCGACTAATTCTTACTCTCATGATGTTCACGGGTAATGTCGATTCATGTCGTTCATTTGCTCCCGAGCACAGAGTTCCGAATCCTAGAAGAGATGCCATGGAATTCTCATGTGTTAAATCAATCTCTAATTCAGACTGAATTTCGCATTTCAAAGTATTATTGTTAGCATGTAATGAAAATATCGAATCTATATCATTAATCGATGTATTCATTTTTTTTTAATTATATTTTTAATAGCTTTATTGATTTCATCGATCTCGTAGACTCCTGGAGGGATTGATATAGTAACAGGTGGATCATCTGCCTTCATTCTGTAACTGATTATATAATCCTTCTCGTCTACATTGGAAATGGAATTGTATGAGTTAAATCCATGCAATCCCAATCCATAACGACTGTTAACATCTAATTCGATTGGTGGGAAGGAGTTTGCACTCAATACACTCGTTTCTCCACTTAATGTGAATGTTCTCGACATGACTGATGTCATTGAACGAATGAGCAAATTCTTCATCATCTCATTCCATTGACCACATATTATGACGTCAATCATCATACATGAATCAAGACACTTCTCCAATTCCTGAAAATATATCAGTATAAATTATCAAGTGATAAAGTTATAATATGAGGGAAATTGGAAGTTTAATTAAGAAGAAAAAATACGTTGTGTAGTTTTGAGAATATTTATTACCCGATAATAACAATTAGGTAAACACAAATGGTTGATTCATGATATCGAAAAGGGAATATTACGTTATTTGATTTATTGTTGTTTGCAGCATGAAGAATTTTGCTTCTTCATTTCAGCAGGTTTGCACTCTATCTCATTATTAGCTCCTACGTTGATATCCCTTATATTACAATAGCAACAGAATATTCTCCTAGATGTTGGTCCATCGTTAACATCATTGGTTACATTTTCATCATGATGTTCATCACAGTACTGATATTTCAAAATATCTATATCGTTTTGTAAATGTATAGGTAGCTTACCCCATACCATAATAATCGCATGTGGAGTACAAGCGATTATTACTTCTTTCGGCATATCAGTAAGCTCTTCTTTCGTCATTTTCAATAAGCTTCCTACTTTAGAAAAGGCTTTCAAGAAATGTCCCATACGTTTGATACTCTCGCGATCCATGAGTGATCTGATAGTTCTATGTATCACTGATAGTGGACAGAAACTTCAAGCACAAATGTCCATACCAGACTGTATTGTATTTCTGTTTACGATCATAATTGTATAGTATTTTGAATTTTGCTGTTGAGCCACTATGAAAATATTGAACTAACTCCTCAGGTGGAGGTAAATCACCATAAGAAGCAAGAAAGTGTTGTATCTGCATTGACAAGTCGTGTTTAATTTTGCTCCGGCTATATCCTCATTGAAGTAGTGATTTTTGACACGGTCTAGGGCAAATTTGATATCAAACTATACAGTTTTCAATAGGCTACACGTTCCTGTTGAGAACATAGGTGTAATTTTTCTTGTTTAGTGCGTAACCAGTGAAATTCACTGAAACCCATAATAATCGTGTACTCACAAAAAGGTGTCGAAAATAGCGTTTTTATCGATATGCCTGAGGTATGCGCCACGTGCACATCTCCTGGCACAAGAACTAATCAAGGTATTTCTTGTGATGGGCCTTGCGAAAAAACGTTCCATTTCAAATGTACGAAGACTCCAGCGGCGTATCAAGATATTCCAGCCGGAACAGGCCTAACCTGGGTTTGCGATAAGTGTAAACATGGAAGGAATGACTCGAAGCTAGATAAACTGTTAGTGTCGCTTGCGTCAATCCAGAAGGACCTTAAAGATGTGAAGACGGTACAAACAGAAGTTTTCGATTCGCTCAACTTTTATGGTGGAAAGATAGATGATTTTGGAAAGCGAATGGACAATTTTCAAAAAACTATAAACTCAGTTCAAGGAGTACAGCAAGACGTTCAACAACTGAAAAAGGAGTGCGAAAACTTGAGAGCTGAGATTGAATCAATGCATCAGCAGCAGCGCATGGAGAATATAGAAATCTCTGGATTGCCTGAGAAGAACAATGGAAATTTAAAGTTGATCATGCAGGTTGTTGTCCAACTTATTAAGTTTCCATTACAAGACACGGATATCACGGAATCTCATCGGGTTCAGACACACCCAGACAACCAAGATAAACAACGTCCAAAAAACATTGTCATAAAATTCTCAAGCAGGGATACGAAAACCAAGTTCATGGGAGCTCTGAAACCACATAGACACAACATATTTTCTGATATTTTAGGATTTCCCAATGAAACACGAGTTTATTTAAACGATCATTTGACACATTATTTCAAAATGATTTTCAAACACGCTCGAGAATTCTCCAAAGCAAATGAATACAAATACTGTTGGGTGAGAGAAGGAAAAATCTTTATTAAAAAATCAGATACCGCTCGCGCAATTCAAATTACATCTATTTCTGATCTGAACAAGCTTTCCGCCTAAACTCATCTCACTACAATTATGATAAAGCAGTTGTGGTTTATCATCGCATTCGAAGAGTTACGAGTGTACTATCAAAATACCCGAGGTTTGAGAACTAAAACCGAAAAATTCCGTAGAGCTACTTTGTGCCATGATTTTGAGATAATATGTGCTACCGAAACATGGTTGAAAGAGAGTATTACGAACATGGAACTATTTTCAACAACTTATGAAGTTTTTCGGAAAGACCGCGATGAAGTGACTAGTGGAAAAAGTGATGGTGGGGGTGTGATAATTGGAGTGAAAAAAAAATTTGTATCAAAAAGCATATCTCATTGGAGTACCAACGGCAAAGTTGAAGAGCTTTGGGTGGCAGTAGCACTGGAAGGCGGTAAGAAATTACTTGTATGTTGCGTTTATGCTCCTTCAAACATTAATCTGAATGATATGAAATTACATCTTGACAAAGTCGAATACCTAGTGAATAAAAATTCTCAACATAACTTCCTCATAATAGGGGACTATAATTTTCCAACATTGAACTGGATTTGTGACCCCGCAGACCCCATAGGATATGCACCATATGGCGCTACTGACATCAAGAGCGAATATTTTGTGAATTCTGTATCGCTATCGAATCTTGAACAATTCAATAATGTCCGAAATACCAGTGACCGAATTTTAGATTTAGTTTTCTCTAATCGAGAAGACCTAAATGTGAATCCTTCGGTGATACCGTTCGTCAACGAGGACGGTCATCATAAAGCCATCGAATTATCTCTAAGTTTATCACCTCAAAAACAATTGCCGCAAAAATCACATACCAAACTCATGTTCAAACAGGCAAATTACAATTTTATCAACGATTATCTAAATTCTGTTCAATGGGAAGCAATATTTGACTTAGAAGACATTGATGTATGTGTAGAAAACTTCTATGAAATAATAAACAAGGCTGTGAATGACTTTGTTCCAAAGGAGCTCGTGAACTACAGCAGTCATCCACCATGGTTTTCCAAATAAACAATCAAATTAACAAAAGGAAGAATTAAATATCATCGGAAATGGAAAAAATTCAAAAATCAGGCTGATTACTCCCGCTTTTCTTTTTTACGAAGAGAAATGAAGAAGAATATTGAAAATGATAATAAAAACTACATAAGAAAAACAGAGGATGAATTAAAACATGATTCAAAATTTTTTTGGTCGTATATCTCCAATAAGAAAAATAATCATTCCATTCCGGCTCAAATGAATTTTAATGGTGAATCATACACTGAAACAGAGTCTATATGTGACATGTTCTTGGATCATTTTGGCAGTGTTTTTGAAAGTAACCAAACCCCATGCCATATTCCGAATAAACCATCGGACAACAGTATCAATATTACATATATCTCAGAAAAAAATATTCACGATGCTCTCATTGAACTTGATGAAAAAAAAGGTCCCGGACCAGACAGTATACCACGGTTATTTATAAAATTATGTAGGTCAAGCTTAACGCATCCTTTGTACGTATTATTCAATAAATCTTTGGTTTCCGGAAAATTTCCGTCAAAATGGAAAATCGCACAAGTCATACCAGTATTCAAAGCAGGAAATCGGACAGATGCATGTAACAACAGACCAATTTCTTTATTAAATATATTCGGTAAGGTATTTGAATCCATTATTACACAACAATTATTTTTTATATCAAAAAATTTTCTCACAATCAATCAGCATGGATTCTTCAAAAACAGAGGTCGTGACCAATTTGGTAACATTTGTACAAGAAATCTTCGATAACATGGAACATGGAGTTTCAACTTGTGCGGTGTACACCGATTTCTCAAAGGCCTTTGATAAGGTGCATTACCCTACCTTTATGGTAAAGCTTTTTGATTTCGGAGTACACATCTGTTGAAACTCCTAGAATCGTATATCACTGACAGATATCAGTTCGTAGCACTGAATGATGTGAAATCTACCAAATGCCGAATCACGTCCGGGGTTCCGCAGGGCTCACACTTAGGTCCCATTCTATTCAGTATATTATTTGTTAGTGATGTTGAACAATGCTCTCATTCCTCAAATTTTGCTATATACGCCGACGACTTGAAAATTTATAGTAAAATTGGACAGAGATCAGATTACGTGGGTATCCAGGAAGATCTTGAAAGATTGCAAATCTTCTGCAAAACAAATAGATTATTTATCAATGCGAGCAAATGTTATAATGTTCTATTCTCCAGATCTCAAGACCCTATTACTGGAAACCTATTTATCAATAATCAGATAATATCAACAACTGAAGAAGTTCGAGATCTAGGAGTGATACTAGATAAAAAATTAACTTTCAAATCACATATTAGAGCTGTTGTTGAAAAAGCACTCCGTACTCTGGGATTTATTCTGAGAAATACTAAAGAATTTCAAAATTATTCATCAGTTACCACTTTATATAAATCATTAGTCAGGCCTATCCTTGAATACTGCTCTACCATTTGGAATCCCGTATATGACAAATATGTGAATCAAATTGAACATGTTCAAAAAAAATTGGTCAACAATTTGAACTATAGATTCTTCCGCTTCCGTCACTATATGAGCTATGAGAGCAACTTACGTTTCTATAGAATAGAGAATCTTTCCATTAGAAGAGACTTCGTTGACATATTTATTATTCATTTACAAGATCTTCAACAATCATATTGATTCAACAGCATGCACTGGATTCCTGAGCTTGAATTGTAATCCTAGAATGGTTAGGAATAGACTCACTTCCTACCCACCTCCGTTCTCAACTAATTATTATAGTAATTAACCTCTTATAAGATGTATGAACTCGTACAATACAATTTGCCACTCTAATATTGATATATTTCACCTTGATATCAAAAGATTCAAGAAACAACTGAGAGAATTCTTGTCAAATTTTTATAGTATTCCTTGAATATAAAAATATAGAAATAGTGCTGGTATTCATTCATTTATGATACTTAAGTCATATCGAAATTGTAATTTTCCAGTGTGTGTCAAAATACTATACCTATGTATATTTCATATATGTTGATATTGTTTATACCGACGTTACTGTTCTTATGTTATGGAATAGGTAGGTACTTAGTTTTCAAATGATAGTATGTGTAGGTGCAACCCATGTGGAGACAATAATTTTGTATCACTGAGTTATCCTGTCATTGGAAGGACTATTTATATAGTTCCTCTGTTGGATAACCTTGTTTTCTAATTAAATAAATAAATAAATAACTATCGAAGTATTCGATTACCCTACCACGTTTCCTATATGCCACCCAATGAGTGCCAGGGCCTCTGATTGTATCTAGATTTATGATGGCAGATTCGTCGCGAGATGGCCCAGAAGGAGGTAAACTGTCACGCATGAATACACCTCGGAAGTTGGAAAGCTTTGCCTGTTGTGCAAAATTTTCAATATCGATATTGCTCAGAGGTCTCCGAGGTAGAAAGTCTATAAGTTTTTGAATTCGGTGGTTTCAGGAAGATACCTAGTCCTTTTCTATAGAGTTTCACATAAACACCTTTGCCACTCTTTCCAATCGCAATGGCCTTCATGTTTCGATTGTGGCGATTTGCTTCAATGAGCTGTTCTCTACTTGATTTACCTGCCTGAACAGCTTCAGTAATTCCTGCAGCTGCTCCTGCGATACTTCCTAGAGCAGATAAGCTTGCAAATATTGGTATAAGTGGGAGAATGCCTCCAACCTTGGGTATTGGAATTACGCGAGGAGTACGAATATCCTTCTTTCCTCCAGCAACTTTCAAATATTTTTGAGCAGCTGCTAAGGCAATAGTCGTCGCTTTCTTCATATTCTTTGCGAGTTCTGTATTTCCCTCTGCTAGACGAAGAGCTCTTCGAACTTTGTGAAATATTCCCGATCCGAAAGCTATTTTTCGTGTTTTTTTCTCTCTACGTTTGAATTTCTCGACTTTACGACAACCCATGCCGAAACGTCGTTAGCCTTCCATTATATTGGTCACCAACCAAGCAGCACTCCTTCCTCCTAAGCTCGCGTCTCTTGACTTTGCTCTTTCCCACGCTGCTAACTCTAATTGTTCATATGCTTTATGTCTAGCTGCAAGATCGATATGATTCTGAGAGTGAGCAATATCGTGTTTCTTACATGCGATATCCAACTGATTTATTCCAAGATCTCCTCTTGCTAATCGCTTCTGTAACTTGTTTCCAGGACCGCAGTACTGATAACCACCAGGTATATGTAATTCGAATGGAAGTTTATTGATTAGTGTATTAACGAAACCTTCACCACTTTCAATTAGTCTAGGTGAAGTTATGCGTCTGCACCGTTTGACTAACATCATGTGAATGAGGAGTATCTTACGTATCCATATTCATTTATCATTCGACTACCAAACGATGCACATTGTTAAACAGAAGGAACACTCCGTTGTGAATAATTGGGATATAAAGATTGGATATGGAGATGGAAAAGAGAATTTGTCACGACATGGTAATTTATTACCTTCTACTGTCCGTGGCCTCATCATCGGTCCATCTAATTGCGGCAAAACAAATGTGATGATATCTTTGTTGACTCACCCTCATGGCCTGCGCTTTGCAAACGTATATTTATACTCCAAGTCACTTAATCAACCAATGTATAAATATCTACATAATATATTGAAACCGATAAGTGGACTAGGATTTTTCACATTCAGTAATAATACGAAGGTGATGGATCCATCGGAAGCTGAACCAGATTCCATATTCATTTTTGATGATGTGATAAGTGGAAATCAAGATGTTATTCGATCATATTTCAGTATGGGTCGTCATAGACAGGTGGACTGTTTTTATTCAGCACAAACATACTCAAGAATTCCAAAACAATTGATCTGCGACAACTCCAACTTGATAGTTATATTCAAGCAAGATGTGACAAAATTGCAACACATTTTTTCTGATCATGTTTCACCGGATGTGACTTTCAAAGAATTTCAGGATATGTGTGGAGAATGTTCGAGAGATAATCACGGCTTTCTTGTCATTGACACAGACAGTGAGATATGTAATGGTCGCTATAGAAAAGGATTCGATAGCTTTATATATCCTTGGAAATAACGAATACCAGTCAATTGATTCCCAATCGTCACAGGAGTTGCACGTGCTGGGTAATGATGAAGATAAAAATGAATGAAAAAACAGAGAGTGACATGAAATTGAAACGACAATTGATCGAAGCGACGGATGCAGTAAGACAGAAATTCAATACTATCAAGAGTAATCGTACCGAAAATCTGATGTCTCTCGAGAAAATATATGAACCTATAACAAAACCGCTCAATGTAATATCTGCTGCAACCGTAGCAAAACTAAAAATCGACAATTTGCCGTCTGTCACCGAAACAAGTATACCCGTCTCGATTAATACATCCTTCATTCCATTATCAGCAAGTACACCGAAATATAACAGCCGTAGTGATACTACCGAGTTTTATTCGCCTCCATGAAGAACTAATATCGTACCCGATCCCACAGAATCACATCTCATGGATACGCCACCTTCGTCAACAATATCTTCAATGAATGACGATGATACCATTCAAGCCATTGAGGAGCAAGATCAAATAGCAAATGGGCTCATTGAGAATTTATTATCTGGGGACTCACGCTATGATAAAGCATATGGTGTTCATATAGATTCCAAAACAAAACGACTGAAGATTGGTAAAGCTGAAGTGAGTTTTCCTATAGGAAACATCATAATTCGAATAGGTGGAACACAGAAACAGTTTGCAGCTGATCTACAATTATATGATATGATATTCCTCAAGAAACCACCAGAAAATATTAGAGGTGAAAATATGAAATCATTTGCCGCTATAATGCAACTGACACGAGCACCATACAAGAACTACGATCTCAGGCAAGGACTCAAAACATCAAGTTCGAAGAAATATTATGAATTAATCAAACCATCAGTTCGTACTCCTTATAAAATGAGGAAATAAGAAGGTGGAAAACTGAAGCAGTTCTTATCAAACAAATTGTACACTTCGTCGAAAAAGGAGTATGTATATTGAAATAGACCCAAAGAACTGGTGGATCGATTGAGATTATTATGGAGTTCAAAGATGACTGGACATACTGCTCATACCAACGAAATCATATCTATAAATGAAGAGTTGCGAGAAGAAGTAATATTATACTAGATTTGATACCTATATCAAGAGAACATTATGATAGAGCTCATCAGTTATAATCTACATTCGAATCGAGATAGATCCATGGACGAAGTGAAGATATGAATGATATTGAACGACGAATTGCAAAGGAACTACATGGATCTGCCCGCCGCAACTTCAGAAGAAGAAGAACAATCATCAAAGGATTTTCTGATCTGTGGCAGATCGATCTTGCTGAAATGCTACAATATGCAGAGGTGAATAGTGGATATAGATATATTCTCGTCGTGATTGACTGTTTTTCTAAATATCTATTGACTGAACCAATCGAGAACAAAACAGGTGAGGAAGTTAGTAAAGCTATGGAAAAAATTCTGAAAGAAGCAAAATACTCACCAAAACATATTCAAAGTGATGCTGGAACAGAATTTTTCGATCGCTGGTTCAATAAATTGATGAAAGAATATAAAATCAATCATCACATTACATACGGTACGAAAAAAGCTGCTATCGTTGAGCGGGTCATCAGATCTCTGAAGAAATGGGTGTATAAAGAATTCTCAGCTATAGGTGAATATGTATGGTTAGGCATATTACCTGAACCAAACCACAGATATCATAATAAAAAACATCGCACCATCGGAATGAGACTTGTAGATGTTTCACCTTCAACACAGATAGAAGCATATAGTCACCCGAAAATAGCTTTGAAGCCAAAATTTAAAGAAGGTGAAATTGTCAGAATAAGCAAGTACAAAGGTGTTTTTGAACAATGATACACTGCGAATTTCTCAACAGAACTCTTCGAAATCACTACAGTGAATAGAACTAATCCAACTACTAACTTACCCAAAGACATGGAGGGGAATCCAATCAAAGGATGTTTCCATGGAATGGAATCACTGAAAACGTTTAATCCCAACATATTGTAATGATATTTCCCTTGGAGGCGCTTTAGAAACATCAGCAGGAAGGCAGGAGTACAACGATCATCCTGTATCACGCATCCCAGATTGCTCTCCAACCTCTCAATGATTCCTACATACACCAACATATTTCCGAACACTCAATATATGCCGCAGTGACAAAGAACGTCACAGAAGATTCTGGAATGTTCTGGAAACAATCGATAGAACAATTAGAGAGAGAGGTTTGTTCTAAGAAGCTTCTAGAACAAAAAAGGAGGAGACGGAAGATCATTTCGAGAAGGTTCTCGAACCAAAGCCTGCCTGTGTTCTCATATATAAAACGGCCGAACAACTGAGTCAGTCAGTCAAACAGCGAGTGTCAGAGAGACAGTTATATACCGCGTGTTACAAATCGTTTTACATAAATAGTAGTTATGAGTTCGATATAAATTAGTGTTTCTTTGGTTTAAATAAATCAGTTGGAAAATAAATAGTGTCGTGTTCGCTTCTGCACCCGAATAACGTAACAATTGGTGTCAGAAGTGTGGGATATTCCAGTGTGAAGTGAACAGACCGATGCAATGAAGAAACTACACGAGTTGAAAGTGGTAGACTTGAAACGCGAGTTGGAGGAGAGAGATCTCGACACAACAGGGATCAAGATCACACTTCAGCATCGTCTCAAAGAGTATATGGTGAGCGTAGGTCAAGATCCAGAGACGTTCACCTTCGAGGAACCAGCTTCAGCGGAATCGATGTTGGCTGGGATCTCGGACCAGATAGCGGCTCAGCGACAGGACATTGCGGACCAGATGGTGGCCTAGCAGAAGGAGATCACGGACCAGATAGCGGCTCAGCGACAGGACATTGCGGACCAGATGGTGGCTCAGCAGGAGAAGATCGCGGATCAGATGGTGGCTCAGCAGGAGAAGATCGCGGATCAGATGGTGGCCCAGCAGGAGAAGATCACGGATCAGATTGCGGCTCAGCGACAGGATATAGCTGAGCAGATGGCAACTCAGCGAGAAGAAGTTCTGGCACAAATTACTACTCAGCGAAATCAGATCGCATCGCAGATCTCAGCTCAACGGCAAGAGGTATTGGATCAGATATCGGCTCAACGGGAAGAGATATTAGCTCAGAAAGAAGTACTTGCTCAGTTTTCTGCTCAGCAAGATCAGATTGCCTCTCAGATATCTGCCCAACGAGAAGAAGTATCGGCCCAGATATCAACACATCGGGAAGAGGTTCTGACTCAGATCGCTGCTCAGAAAGAACAGATCGCATCTCAGCAGGATAAAATTATAGCTCAGGTATCAACCCAATTCACCACCCAGATAGAAGAAATGAAGAAGGAGCTGCAGCTCGAAATAGAAAGAATAGCTATGCTGGAGAAGTCTGAAAATGGTCAAGGACTCATGATTGAAACCACAGTAGGGCCAGATGCAGTGAGTACTACCAATCGAGTAAAACCACCTACATTCGATGGAAAAACATCGTGGCCGAACTATCTGAAGCAGTTCGAAGCAGCTTCCAAAGCCAATGGGTGGACATCCAAGGACAAGGTTGTGGCTCTGACAGTAGCTCTACGGGGTGATGCTTTGAACATCTTGCAAGCCATTCCGGAAGGTGAAGTCGATAGCTACGATCATCTCGTCAAACGTCTCGACATGCGATATGGCCATGAACATCTGCAGCAAGTGTTTCAATCACAAATGAAGAGCCGTCGACAGAGAGCCAACGAGAGTCTTCAAGAATTCGAGGTGGATGTAGCCCGATTGGTCCACTGTGCCTACCCGTCAGCCCCAGAGTCCCTTATGGAATGTCTAGCTGTTCAAACGTTCGTGGATGGATTGCGGGATATCGAAATGCAGAAAGCAGTTCGCCTGACTCGACCAAAAGACCTCACCAGTGCTCTGGCAGCTGCGCTTGAGATCGAGGCCGCTGCAGAAGCTTCCCGAGGATCAGCGAGAGTCCGAGCAATAAACGACAGCGGAAACATAGCGGAAAATACCAGGCAAGATCCTACTGAAGCCTCAATCAACGCCATCCAGGGCCTCTGGAATAAGAAGAGGAGACCGGTACGTTGTTGGAATTGCGGGGAGTTGGGCCACCTCCAGAGAGCTTGTAAACGTGCGAAACAGGCTGCTGAGGAAGTATCATCTTCCACGCAGTCGCAGGAAAACTTGAGCGGGTCGACTTCGAGGGGGCAGCTTCGACCCGTAATGCTCAAGACCCTCTCATCTTTGTGGCATCCCTACGGCGTGATAACAGCAGCATTTACGTAGATAGACTGATCGACGGAAAGAAATGCGCATTGTTGGTGGATACTGGTGCATCGAAGACAATCCTGCGACGTGGACTTCTGACGTCTTCAAGAAAGCAACTTCTGAACTCAAGATGGCGTCTGAGAACTGCTACGGGTGAAGCTGCCACCGTTTATGGGGAAATCGATGTGGATATATCGATCGGGACCGTCAAATTTCCACATCGAGCTATCATGGCAGATATTGAAGAAGATGTTATTCTGGGAATGGACATCATGGGTGCGCAAGGAATTCAACTGGACTTTAGGAGCCGAACACTCAAGGTGAGTGCCGAAGAGATCTTCTTACATCCATGGGTGGGGGTAGCGGCAGGGGTAACGTTAGAAGAGGACGTCCTGTTACCGAAACGGAGCGAGACCATTGTAGCAGCGCGGATTGAGGGTAAATTGGAGCAAGGCAGTCCCATCATCATGGAACCCAGGAACGATGACGAGGAAGTTGGACGTGGAATCTTAGTCGGCAAGGCTTTACTGTCAGCAGACGACCATGTACCTGTTCGATTCATCAACATAAATAATTACCCTGTGACGATTGGCAAAGGAACGAAGATTGGAACCTGTGTCCCGGCAGCCTCCATAATCCACCAGGTGACAGCAACCACTGATGGGGCCGGCAAGTATAAAGAACTCGTATCTGCTGCAAGCGACTCACTCGACAACCGACAGAAGAAGAAGTTAACCGAGTTACTGCAGAGGTATAGATCCATTTTCATACCTGCCAATGGAAAAACAGGTAGAACCAACATCGTCAGTCACAAAATCGATACGGGAGATACCAGACCAATTCGTCAACCAGCCCGAAGATTACCACAGGCCAAGAGAGAAATTGCAGAAAAGATCATCCAGGATATGGAACAAGACGGAGTAATCGAGCCATCCAATAGTCCTTGGGCTTCACCAGTGGTACTAGTGAAGAAGAAAGATGGAAACACTCGTTTCTGCGTGGACTATCGCCGATTGAACAACGTGACGAAGAAGGACAGTTATCCTTTGCCTCGAATTGACGACACACTCGACACGTTTGCGGAATCGAATCTTTTCTCCACTCTGGACCTGAAAAGTGGATATTGGCAGGTGGAAATGGATCCGGC